ATTACCTACTCAACCCATCTCTAGTCTAAGTGACAAACCTACCAGTTCTCAAACAACCCACTAGTCCCTGAAGTAAAAACTAATACCTAAGTAGCAAATGATCAAATGACTGCAGATTAACACGCTTAGTTTTCTTCTAGAACTAACGAACTACCCACCGATCAACATAGGTAATCATGGACGTTTTCGTTGGGCAGCAATCAATTCTGTCCCCTTCCCCTTTTATTTCCCGAAAGGTTGTTTTGGTCGTTATCAGAGAAAGAAAGAAAAGACGCGAGGCAGAGTGGGGAAAGGGAGATGATCGACTAGCGGCAATGACGAGATTCCGATAGTTTCGGCTAGGTACAGTGGTTGCTGGAGTAGCGTGGCTTAGTTTCTTAGGTTTCAGGTGCTGCCGGTTAGATAGGGGATGAGTATCCAGCATCAGTAGTGTATATTGTGGAGAGAATAGATATGGTCATGTGGTTGTATCTGGTGCTGTAACCTTGTATGGTTTAGCTAGGAGCTAGACAATGTTAGGTGATTGGGTGCGTACATGATGTGATGTGTTGATCATGAAGATTTAAAAGATCAGTAGTTAATACTATGTCTCATTATTAGCTTATTTGTCGTGTGATGCTCAGGAAATACTTGTATGTTCTTGTGTGATGGAGAGTCCGACGCACGGATGCCAAGCTAGGAGATACAAACCTTGTGTTATTTTGGTGTTTGGTGTGTGTGCATGTGTTTCTAGATGCAGTTATCTCTGGCGACTCCTGATGAATTGCGTTATCCTCTGGTAGCACTTGCTGCTGGCTCTGATTTGTACTGGATAAAGATCAAGTTGTACACGCTGCATATTATGCGGGGTTCTGATCAGCATCTGCTGAGAGGTACTGTTAGCCAGTCGGCACATTTTTCAAGTAATATGAAAGTGCGCGATAAAAGTACTTGGAGAATGGATCCATGTGAACGCGACTGTTATCGGCGGCGAGGCTCAAGGCCTAGACCTGGAATAGTCATCTTCAACGACAGCTTGATCCCCCGGAAGTCTGCGGACAAGCACCTCGTGTCTGATGTCAATATAGACCAGCTGACAGCATCATGACCGATCGGTCTAGACAGTCACTGGAAGAAGCATTGAAGGTTTATGTAAGGACTGGATGGATGGGTGGAGCCCAGTCAGCCAGCAAGATGGTAGCTGGCCTGGACTGCTAGGTTCCAATATTTAACCTTTCCGGTGCTCCAGGCATCCTCGCCAAGTACCTGGCTGTGGCAACAGCAGCACCAATTAGACTTGAGGTGTGAGTCATTGAGTCATCGCTCATTGCATTGAGATATTTTCTTCTTGTCTGAGGAAGTTTGACTGCTGTTGTTGTGCCACGCGCATTGATTAGGTGGCTTGTTGCTGCAGCCGCAGATGGCCAACTGCGCGATCAGGAGAAAGGCTCCGGGGAGCATTCCAGGCCATTGAAAAACATCAACCGGCAAGACAAGAATGAGAGAAAATGTCTGACAGTCAAGTAAAGGTAAAAAAGTACATCGGGCCAGGCGGGTTCAACTGTCAAATAAGCTCTGCCCCGCCCCTGACAAGGCCCGGAAAGAGTTGAACCAAGGAACCTTCTCGCCCGAGCCACCGGTGGCTGATCTACGGGCGCTGACAGTCGGCGCTCGTGGATGATGCCGGGTGTCTACCATGCCCGATTACATTCATTGTGCAACTCTGCACTGAAGAATGTGAATGCCATTATTGCACAGATCCCCAAGCGATGGCCCGTCAGCATATATGTGCATCCGCCGGCTCGGCAGCCTCCCCTCCCCGGTGTCACTGGTAGGACCGACAGCCATAGTGTGTAATGTCGTCGCACTCCCGATTGCAGAATTAAGTATTGGTCCCTGCGTCTGTGCAGGAGTCACAGGAATCCTCGGCATTTCTTGTCAGAGTGGCACAGTGAGCACAGTTGGGAGCTGAACCTTGCATTTGGGGAAAATTTTTGGGTTACCGTGAAAGCTGAGGAATCGTCCAGGATGGAGCGGGATGTACGAGGCGTCTGCTGGAGCTACGTCAATGACTAGACGACCACATGAAGAACATCAATTCTGCATCACGATGAAAGAGGAGTGGTGACCTAACCACTCTGGAGTACAGAAGTATTGAGCTGAGCTCAAAGAGCCCATCGTGTAACCCCATCCCCATCCACTTCTCTTTCCCGGAAGAGCCCTTGACATTATGGGAAGGTGAGTGATACAACCAAGCAGAGTCGGGAGCAAATTCGAGCACAGGAGTGAAGAATTCATGTACTTTGGATGATGCCGACTTGTGTAAGGCGGGGAGACGGGATTCATATTCAGTTCATCGTCAGTTTCGAGAGTCTAGGCATCTCTTTGTCCTTACTGTGCAGGGTAAAAGGTCTACAAAAGTGAGTTTCTAATTATACCTGCCAACTTCTACTCTGCCTTGCTGTCTGATGCAGGCCAGGCAGACAAATATGGCAGTGGGGCGGTCGCATTAGCTCTGCGCATCACCGCGAAGATCATGGAGCCGGCGGATCTGCTGTGACGACGACACAGCGAGTGAGCGATTCGGGGAATGTGGATCGGCGACATTACCACCGCCATGCCGTCTGAGAGGGAACGCCCACCAGCCCAAGTAAGGAGCTGAAACGACCTATGGAGTACTTAGTTTCAACGTCTCAAGTATCGCCTTTCTGATGATGATGATGATGATGTTGTGTTTGTCATGAGAGGTTCCCGTCATGCTCCGGAATTTCTTTGCTTCCTGGAGGTCATGTTCCATAGCGACCTCATAGATAGCATTGTCAAGTAGTGTAGTACGCTATCGAAAGTCCATCGAGTCTAGAGGAGAGGAAACAAACCAGGGTTTTCAGCTACAGACAACAGCCATCGGACTGGATGGAGGGAGACAACAGTAGAATTCTCACCGGGAATTGCCACCTGTGCATCGGCACGGCTTAATTGGGCGATCCGAGTAGAAGGAGGGGGAAAGAACTTGAAAGACAAGTAAGTGCACGGAGCAACAACAGCCTGAGGGGGGCAACACAACTCCCAATAAATGGATTTGGTTCGGTGAAGATCAGAAACTGTCATCCCCTATGTGGATCAGCAGGGACCTTCTTGGGACTAGGAGGGGGGTTTTTACCAAGGCAGCCGTCCATACTATCCAGCAGTAGTCTGCAGTAGTGCCCAGAGGAAGAAAGAAAATGGAGAATTGGAAATGCAGGAAAACAGATGGAGATGGAGATGGAGGACGAAGGAAAGGAAAGAAAAGGAAAGGGAAGAAAAAAATGGTGGGTGCGCCAGAGTGAACATACATACAGTGTACATACAGTACAGGCAGGCACGCAGGCAGGCAGTCAGTCAGTGACTGATGCATCCACCCATCCATCTCCCACACCCACTCTGGCTTCCCTCCCTCCACCCAACCCCAACCTCACCTTCTCCTTTCCTCCTCCCCTCCCTTTCTCCATTCCTTTCCATCCATCTCCCCCTCTGACACAATCCACCCACCCATGTGATGGATTCCAAAGATTTCCCCGAAGCTTCGTAATCCAGCAACTTGGCTGCACCGCCGACCCACCCACGCTGCTCGAGAAACATCCAAGACTTGCTGTTCTCTGTGAGTCGAGAATGAAATCGATCCATCGTCATCGCCATGGCCAATGTCATTTCCGATCGATGGGCAGTTTATGCGCCGCACAAATCAGAGTACGGAGTGCACCTCCCTGCAAGCGTCTTCATCCACACCATGTCTGGCGGACCTGAAACTATCGGTCTTCAGTCTGCAATGATCGGGTAGCCGACATAGGCCCTGGCAAAATAGACCCATGGCTTATGGCTTGCTCCCGGAGTAGCCGCCACGGGCTCAACAGTCATAGATAGCTAGTCCAGCCTTTTCAGAGGGTCGGACTTTCGGTTTGGGGTCCGCGATCCGGTTCGGGCGCTAAAGTGGGTGATAAACCTGGGTTCCTTCTTCCGGACCCAGCCACGGTCCCACTCGGGGCTTTGAGAGAACCTGAAAAAAGAAAACAAGGGAATGAGCTTGACCTGACGCGAGCAATTGCATTCATCAAGCTTTTCGCGCCCAATAGATACCGCCCGCGGTAACCTATGGATCTTCCCTTCCCTCAATGGTTCCAGAAGGCCCAGCCCAGACCTTCCAGGCACTTCAAGTTTTCCAGTCGGGCGGTGGAGTCTTCCCCCCCGATTGACAGGCCTCCACTTTCAGAGACAGAAAAACAAATACCAGGAGAATTATGTATTCAGCAAACAGGAAACACAAATAAAAGCAACAATGACATCCACCACCACATAGATACCTTACGTGGATCATACCGAGTAAGTAAACATGGAATTAACAGCTGCAACAGAAAAACAACAAAATCAATAGAAAGAGACACTATCGCCGAGTTCTGTCCGGCAACAAGCCCAACACCACAAAACTACCACCACCAATAACTACCCGGAGCAATGGAAACTACTATCAGAACCCAAGCACTCTGACGGGCTGCTATGGGTCCTGTGTTTCCAGTGGCTTCCTGCTGCAATCCCTTTATCCGGTCTCCATCTAGGCCAAGGTGGCTTCCCCCTTGGGCCAAGTGGTACCGCATCGTGGAGCCTGTGGAACCGGTTCCGTCGATAATGCTGCCCGCATCTAAGATAGTAGCAGTAGGAAAGGAAAGAAAAAAAAATAATAATCTCACTGCTCGCTCGCCGATGTATGAGCGCCACTGAATTATATCGGGGGCTAGGTGTCCACTATTCTCCTCCTGCCCTCCTGATCGTGCTCATGAAGCAGCTTGGATTGAAAGCCATGTGTCTGGCTTGATGGGCTCAGCTGGTGAGCACTAATAGCACTTCGGACACATACAATCCAGTGTATCTTATCGAAACCCGCTGAAAGAAGAGTGGGCATTTGACTTTGGATTATTTATAAGGAAGACCTTGTCCGTGTCTAGCCCTCTGGGGGTCTCTGTGATCCATCCACTCAGATTCGTCACGGTTTCAACTCTTCCGGCCAAGGCAGTGATTCGACTACTCCCAGGTGGCAACCACGCCTTGGGCACCCGAAGCAGCGTCTGATACAAAACTTCCCCTTCCCCCTACTCTCTTTGAGATCACCATCCCCTGCCCTGCCACCCCCGTTGTCAGGCACAGACGCCCCGATCTTTTAACCCCGAATTGACAATTCATTTTTATCATATTATTCCGCGAACTCTCGTCCGCTACACAAGGCCAAGGATAGGTCGCGCACATCCACTCTCTTCATATGACCATCGTGGTGCTTGGAGCTCCGTGATTGGTCCTGTCTGTCTCTAACCCGTGTTCACATTTCCCAGATTCGGCTGCTTTCGTCCAGCGGTGCACTTCTCTTGAGCTCGTTCTCTTATCTCTCTCTCCATCATCACCTGCCGGCCCCCTTCATCCTCGTCCCTCAGGTAGGAGACCGAGTATAAGCTCCCCTCCTTTTTCGCAATCTTTCCCGGTGGCCCTCCTCACTCCTATTTCCCCTTCGATCCGACGGAGGAATTCTTTCTTTTTCAGGCTGTATCAATATTGGGCTATGTACCCGTGACGTACTTTCATTCCTTGTGGCGGGCCCTTTATCCCTTTCAACCTACCTCTGTGACTTCTCTTTCTTGAAGTCCAAGTTCACGTTGGTGAGAAGAAGTGGAAAAAGAAAACGTATCACCATTCTTATCTGTGTCCGTCATTCCTTGACCTTGGCTCAAAATTTGCGAGGTGCGTTTTGTGACCAACCACATCTCATGATAATGATGCAAGTTACATATTGACGCGGTTGCTAGGCTGCTGGAACAAGTTTCGCACATCAAAACCCCTTGGACAACATTAGGCTGCAATTCTCAAGTGACTGTCTCTTTTTCTCCGTGTTGAGTTTGTTCAGGGAAATCAAAAATATTGGAAGAGAAAAAAAAAATAAGATTGGAAGAAGAGCTATCATATCTGGGCGAGAACAAAGCAGAGGTAACACAAAACGGACTGCAGATTCCGTGAGTTGAGACCAAGCTTCCGCCAGTCACGTAAAGCAATTAAAAATGGCTGGCGGCTATTTTGATCTGCCCATATCATCCACCTCCAGGCGTTCGAGCCTTACTGATGTATCTGGAGGAGCAAGCAGATCATCCCCAGGGCCGCGTGTCCTGACCCCCCTACCGACCCCCAATGAGAGCTCGCAAGAGAGGTTGCCGGATCCAAGCGGAGCTCAGGGCAGTCTGAGGAATGCAGCAATCCCCAGGAGCGCGAATCGGGTCAAATTCACGGTCAGCGAAGCTGGTCTTGGCACCAGTCCCTCTGAGTCGACGTCAGCGGCCCGGTTTGTTGGAAGGGGGTCGTCGCTACCGCAAAGACCATTGCCCACTGCCAGCATTCCATCAGCAGTTAAGGCTTTCCCTAACCCCCAATCAGTGCCTTTGATCGATATCAGCCCCAGTCCAAAAGTAGGTGTCACGGGCCTCACGGTCCACTCAGCATCCAGTTCTACGGGTGCCACTGGCGATGATGATGAGGTCAGTAATGAGAAGGGGAGGGCGATTCATTCAGCACAAGAGAGAGCCCAACGGCTGGCATCCGTGCTGCACCAATCCTCTAAAACTCCGAAGTCCAGTCCTTGGCCGAGTCGACCGTCCTCCATCGCATCTACTCCTTCAGAGGCGGCGCTACCCTTTGAGGATGGAGATGAGATTCCCATGATAAGTCTTTCCGAAAAGCAATTTGGCGATTTTTCAGACGACGATGACCTGGGCCCACTGAACGGCCGACAATCGATCCGAACTTCTCAAGCCCACCAACTAGTCAGACAAATGACTCGAAGCGATCTTGATTTTTTGAGCCGGCTCCAAGCCCCCTCGGCAGGGCTGGAGTCCGGACAAGTCACTCCCCTTGAAGAGAGGGACCCTGACGCCTATGTCGAACGACCGACACATTACCGCGGCGGCATCCTCTCCTCTTTACTCAAACTTTACGATCAACCCGGTAGCCACTATTCGCGGGGCCGGAATGCCAGCTTGCGCCGGAGCAGCACGGGAGAGTTCAGTAGTCGAGGGTTATCCCCAGACCCTACCTGGAAGTCTCAACGGCCCAGGAAGTGGTATGAAAAATCACCTAACCAGTCGAGCACTTCGCTGGCTGGCTCGACGGCCAAGAACTCTACGAGCTCTCCAATCGCGATGCTCAAGCGCTCGCGTAGCAGTGGAGCCATTCCAAACGTACCAAAGCGGATGGGCAAGCCGCAGCTCGAGGATGAGATTCGTATCACGGTCCAGATAGCCGAACTTCTCTCCCGTCAGGGATATCTCATCCGGCTTTGCCGGGCTTTGATGAAGTACGGTGCTCCTACCCACCGAATGGAGGAATATATGAAGATGACGGCTCGCGTCTTGGAAGTTGATGGCCAGTTTCTATATATACCTGGCTGCATGATTATCTCGTTTGATGATGCTTCTACCCACACCACCGAGGTTAGATTAGTCCGAAGTCCCCAGGGGGTTGATCTGGGCCGACTCTGCGATGTGCATCTGATTTACAAGGAGGTGATTCATGGTGTGATTGGAGTTGAAGAGGCCATTCAACGGTTGGACGAGATCCTGAAGCAGAAGAACAAGTACCCAGTGCCACTTGTTATTCTTATTTACGGATGTGCCAGCGCCTGCGTCGGTCCTTTCGCGTTCAACGCACGACCCATTGATATGCCAATTGCCTTTTTGCTCGGATGTCTTTTAGGAACCCTCCAGCTCGTACTTTCGCCACGTTCAAATCTTTACGCCAATGTTTTTGAGATCTCCGCAGCAGTCCTAACTTCGTTCTTGGCCCGGGCTTTTGGCAGCATCCGCTATGGAGATGGGCGGCTTTTCTGCTTTTCTGCTTTAGCTCAATCTTCGATTGCACTGATCCTGCCTGGATATATGGTGTTGTGCGCTAGTCTGGAGTTGCAATCGCGCAGCATTGTTGCCGGGTCTGTCCGCATGGTCTATGCCATCATCTACTCCCTCTTCCTCGGGTTCGGGATCACGATCGGAACCGCAGTCTACGGACTATTGGATGGTGATGCATCTTCGGACTACACATGCCCACCGAGTCCCATCACCAATGAATATCTTCAGCATTTTCCTTTTGCGGTCCTCTTCACCTTCTGCCTCGCAATCATCAATCAAGCGAAGTGGAAGCAGATCCCCATGATGTTGATTATCTCCTTCGCAGGATACGTGACGAATTACTTTGGCACCAAGAGGTTTTATTCCAGCACTCAAATATCCGGTGCGTTGGGTGCGTTCGTCATCGGGGTCATGGGAAACCTTTACAGTCGGCTACGACACGGATTTGCGGCTGCTGCGATGCTGCCCGCCATCTTCGTTTTGGTCCCGTCTGGTCTCGCTGCCAGCGGGTCACTCATTTCAGGCATTGCGGCAGCGGAACAGATCACCACGTCGACCTCTCCTTTCGCTGTCGTCTCCAACGGGACACAGGGCTTCGTGGACGCAGCAAAGAATCTATCGAGCCCAAATTTCGATCGCGAGTTCCACGGTGTCGTTCTCGACATCGGTTACGGAATGATCCAGGTAGCAGTCGGCTTCACTGTGGGCCTATTCCTGGCTGCCTTGGTTGTTTATCCGCTTGGAAAGAAGCGAAGTGGACTCTTCAGCTTCTAGATGACGTGCCTCGATCACATTCCCCTCCCTCTCTCTCTCTCTCTCTCTCTCTCTCTCTCTCTCTCTCTTTCTCTTCTACACTCGCGTCTTGATTGTCTTTTGTGCTGTGTCTGATGGAGCGAATTGTCGTGTTATTCAGCGTGATTTATATTGGTCCCTTCACTTTAGTTTGATTTCTTTCTGGTGTCAAAGTCCTTCTTTTCTCGGAATTTCCTCACTATTTGGGCTCGATCTTGCTATTCATGCATATATATCCGTCATTTCTCATCCGGTTACTCTCCTTGTCTGTTCGGGTTTGATTCTTTTGATAGGATTGCAAGCGTTCCCTGCGTATATTTGTTGTACTTTGTCATCCACACAGGCGTGTGTCGATTCCTTTCTCCCCCCTGGTTTGTACCAATTATTCCTTCTCTTTTTTTGTCTTCTTCTCTTTTCTGCGTCTACAAAAGCAAAGCTACGGCAGTTCGGTTCACATGTTACAACATCTTTGGTGGGATACTAATCTTTTTGCACTGATCTGCTCCTGATACATGCAAGTTGAGTTGATCGATATACTATACTGCGTTACTTACATCTACTGCCACCACCAAAGCTAGCCCTACGACGGCTTATTACTAGATAGAAGATACGATACCACGAATAATGATCAACTACGAACATATCTCGCATAGAAACCAGTCCCTCTTTGGTACAGCTTAGTCCTATCCCCTCCTTCTATAAGCCTCTACTTAGCAACGAAAACATACCTCATCTCCAGTATAATATGCCACCGTAAAACTGGGGTAGTGGTATTGTGAGATAGTTACACCGCCCCCTCCCTCAAAAAAAGGCCCTCTACTCAATTATCATCATGCAACCCACGTACTCAGAAACACCTTTTTCATGATATCTTAATCATAATAATAATAATAATAATAATCATCATCATCATCATCATCATAATCTTTTCTACCCTTGCGGCCAGCCTTATTCCTCGGCCTCGCACTCTGCCACTCGCACGCAATATCAGATTCAAAATTCTCCCTCCGCTCCGTCTCTCTCTTTCTCCTCCTCTTCCTCCTCACCTTCGCGCCCTCTCTTAGTGAATCAATAGCCTAGCAGAGCAGATTTAGCCATAGCTGCAGTACGTACGTAACCAACCAACCATCCTCAGAACATTCCTTCCTGCTTTGTCACCCTTTCTCTCTCTTTCTATATATTTTCCATGTTCTTGTTAGATGTTACCTCATCAGCTTGTAGTTAGTATGTACTAGATCACAAAACTGATGAATGAACAAGTTACTAAATGATAGCAGGTATTTACTACTAGTGACAGTTGGAAGGGGCGGTGAAAGAGTACAGATACTGTCAGTATGTGTAGATTTGCATTAAGAGCAGAGTAGTAGTAAAAGCCAAGGTCCACTTAAGCATATAGGTAGCAGTAGCCCTCTAGCATTCAGTATCCAGTAGTGTCCAAACTCTGGTCAAAAACAACAAAAAAGAAAGAGCATACATAGCCAGATGTATGTACGTACAAGTAAGTAAAAATATCCCCGTCCCCAGATGGACCAGTGCTAGGAAAGGAAAGTAAAAAAGGAAGTAGTAATGGGGCGAG